CCCCCCCCCCCCCCCCCACCCGCTTCAAGTTTTGGGGGCCTCTTGGGCTAAATGCTTGGAACACTTAAGTTTCGCCGTAAGTGGCTGTGCACGTGCTCTGATCGACTGGGAATAGGTCTGACATGCTCTGACGGTTATTCATTCTTGAAGGTGCAACATGGCAGATTCGGTTGGATCTTCGACACGACGCGTAAAGCTCCGAGACATGCCGAGACCCTCATGCACAAGTAGCACGTGGGCTCCTGCGTTGCCGCCTCCTCGTCCGTGCCGGTGGTCGCGCATCCTCAGCCCAAAGGGCAACTAGCACGGCTCAGGACAAGTCAACAAACCACATCAAACAAGACATATACTGTCGAGAAAGGCGCCACTACACGGTGATATTTGGGAAACCGCAGCTACCACTTGCTGGAGATAACCTCCACACGACTCTTTGTTTTCCCACGTAGTTGTCCGTTGCAGTCCCTAAGCTTGCTGCCTCGTTTTTGCTGCCCTTTCGCTGTGTGTGCTTCGTTTTGTCCATCTCATTTTTCGATCACTGCTGCCGCAAGGTGTAAGGCTCCAATCTGGCTTTTGGATCGTTTCTGGCTCGTGAGGTGCTGTCCTTCTGCAAACCGAGTTAAGCAGTGCAAGTATTTTGCTTGCTCTCGGCAAGCAAGACATGTCTGCATGCCTGCCGTTTCTGAAGTCTTCTACGAGCCATGCCGAACAATCAATCCAAAACACCTGCACTTACTTCTTTTGCCACAAACGCAGGGTTTGATTAAAGTGAGCCAAGGCTGCTGTGTGAATCACGGACCTCAACAACCAGCAGCGGAGTGCAAAGTCACGTAGAACCAGGGTGGCACACGGCAAGAATTCTAACAAACTGTTATGAGACTTGTGACATGCATTGCACCCACACTAGACAAGAACTGTGATAAGAGAGTTGACAAGCCTCAAGAAGGCCCGGAGGAAGGAAAGCTCTGGTGAGGCACTGACTTGCTCTGGCCAGCCTCGGGCTCCACTGTTGTGGGGCGCAGGGGGTGGGTGATGCAATGTTTCTACCCTGGGCTCCGAACTTTCTATTTAGCTGTGGTGTGAACCGAAGTGAAAGAGGTTTGCAGGATGTTGGGTCGGGTTTTCGCAGCTTAGGGTTCTCAGTTCGAGGACTCCGGGCCTGCCCCGCAGGCCACGATCCAAGAAAAGAAACAAACCCCCCAAAGCAGGAAGCGCTGCCTTGCCAGGGGGCCTCAAGCTGGTGCTTTCGGGAGGGGCTTAGGAGCCCGCAGCACCCTAGAACCTGGACTTGTGAAGTGCTCTGAGCCGACAGGCCTCTTCAAGCTTCAGGGCGACCCAAAACGTTGAACCCCTGAGTGCAGAAGCCCGAAACCCTCAGAGCCATACGTGCCTGAATGCTCTACATCACAGCTAAAAGACCCTAAAAACTGGAAACGCACTGTCCCGAACCCCAAACCCCAAATTCCCAAAGCCCTCACCCAAACTCCCAGACCCCGAACATCCTGAGACCCAAAACTCCCACATTCCAGGGCCTAGACGCTGTCGGAGCCCAGACTCTAACGACCTCGGAAGCCCCCCATATATGGGGGCCCTAAACACCTTCCTGAACACACCGAAGGCCGCCTTGGACAACGTCGCCGAGTTCCCGGGGAGGGGCTCCGAAGGAGGAGGCGCTGGCCTTGGAAACCAGGCGTCCCTCGTCTTGTACGGGAAGGCTTCCTTCAAGGGCTAATTTTGACAGGGAACTATGGGTTGGGGAGATTTGGTCCATGGTGCTCGGTTTGCCTTAGTTTAAGGCTTCAGATTTAGACTACGGTTTGCCTTCTTAGATGCACGGTAGCTAGTTGCAACCGCTGTTTGCTCTAATTGTAGGCCTGAGAAAGCGACCCGCGTGGAGCTCTGTGCAGGCACGCAAGAACACTCTCCATGTACCACGCAGAAACAAAGTGGACTTCAAACAATGTATTTGCGACACTTAGAAGTGTTATTCCACTCTCCATCTGAAAAGCCGTCAGAACCTGCACAGAATGTGAATCCGTCCTGAGAATGCGTGCCACATCCGCCCCGAAACAGCTCGCGGGAGAAAAACCCTGCATCCAGAAACAGAAGCCCTACGGCAACAAGTATGGGGCAGGGAAGAACGCGCCGTGCTCCCCCCTCCCAAAGATTCGGACTACCACCAGAAGGGCGCCGAGTCCGCGGTTCAGAGCCCATTGGGCCCGAAAGCTACCAAAACTCTTACAGTCTCAATGCCCAGCATCAAATCCCTCAACTCGAAAGGCCCTCTATAGGGGTTCTGATTCTATAGACCCTGAACCTTCAAACTCCAAGGTCCTTAACTCGAAACATATTACATCCAAATGCCTACGCTGCAGCAGTAAACCCCACTAAAACCCTACATTACATCCCACAGCCCTTAAGCCCTAATACCCCCTAAACGTTCATAGATAACCCCACTGCTAGGGAGGCCAGGGTCCCGAGCACTGGGGCAGCTTTGTGGCTGTGCAAGATCTCCAGGATCAGAGCCTGGATGAAAGCTTTAGGGCTCAGAGCTCTTTTTGGCTTAAAGGGGCCTTTTGCGTCGCTTGCGCTCCAAAGCCGAGAGTTTCAGGCTTGAGGGGCTTGCGTTTGGGCTTTCAAGGGCTTTAGGGTGTAGGGTTCAGACTCTCATGGTAGTCTGATTGGCGGTTAGGGGGGTGTTCGTGAGGGGGTTCGCGGTTCAGGGGATTTGGGGGTGCTCAGTTTGGGGCTTGGGGTGTTGGGATTCAAGTCCAGCAAAAGGGCTTTATTAGGGCTTCAAGTGATTCGGTGAGTTCAGGTATTTCGGCTGTAGGATTGAGGGGTGAGGTGAGTTCAGGTATTTCGGCTGTAGGATTGAGGGGTGAAGTCACAGCGACCAGATAAAGACAAACAACAAAAACAGCTGATGGGTCAAGTAAAGATGACCATCAACTAGAGCAGGCCAGTTTTGAACCTACCCTTGGCTCAAGCAGTCATTTCATCCATGCCGCCCATGCCACTGAGGGAGGTCTGCATAGTTTACACGCAGGGAGGGGTTTGACATCCAGCCTGTTGTTGCAAACGCTGAATCGATGTTGTCGCGATTCCAAAAAGGATTTTTACGACCTTTGATATTTTTAGTCTGCAGGATCCAGTTGGGCTTTTCTCTCCAGCAGCGCCTTGTCCAACTCGGCAAAGGTGGCGGTCTTCATGACCTCGACAACGGCTTCCAGTTTGCACACGTCAATTCTATCTAGGGCTCTACAACACAAGCTTACTTCCAGCATGGTGTTCTGAATAAGACTGTTCAAGTCAGTTGAAGTTGTTCTACATAATGCTACTCTTGGGGCACGCCAGTTCTACGGCATTCATAACTCTGTTCGAAGGATCATACAGGGTCCGTGCAATCTGATGAGCAACATGTACACTTAGGTTTCATGCAACGTTCAAGTCGTGCTGGCTGTTCCTGGGTTTCAAGGCTTCGAGGCTCATTTAGGGTTTAGGGTTTAGGGTTTAGGGTTTAGGGTTTAAGGTTTAGGGTTGCCCTTACACAAGCGGGCTTCTGAAAGATCGAGTTCTCGAGTTCGCATTCAACCTAAGGCCGGAGGTACTAAACCCCAAACCTGGAACCCTGCCAGATCGCTTAACCATAAGGGACAGACCCTACTAAACCCAACAACCCTAAAACCCTGGATGCGTGCATGGCCTGCATCTTTGTGAACTCTTTGAGCAAAGTTATGTAGGGCTTAGGGCTCTTAGTTAGTCTAAGAACGTGGAGCTCTAGCCGCCCAAAGCCCTGAAGCCCTCCCTCACCAACGAGATGTACGCTGCAGCCGAGCCACCGAGTGGAAGTTCGCCGTGTCTGTCATGAAGAACAGCGCACGACTTCTTAGCCTGGTAAGTCTTTCTCTTTACAGGGCCTTGTTGAGGTTGTGCAGAGCTTAAAAGAACCAGGAAGCCTATAATTGAGAGGCCTCTCAGTCTCTGCGTTTTTCATCAGGCTCCATGGTGCGTCTAGAGGAATCCAGGGACTGGGATATTGGAGCTCGAAAGGACCAGAGGATTGTATTGGGCCTTCGAAAGCATGGCAAAAGCTTCGCAGAGGGTTGAACCCAAGGCCTCGCTTTCTGGATTTCGGGTTAAGGGCCCTGAAGTCATTAGCGTTCCAGGACTTTCGGGCTTCAGGACAGCATTGGATTCGTGCTGGCAGTGCTTCGAGCTTTCAGGGTTCGGGGCATCAGGATTTTCAGTTCGAGGTCTTTAGTGGACTAAGGAGGCCTTAGCGGGCTAGCGTTCAATTCTGGTTCGTCCGTCTGAAGTCGGCTCAGTGTTGGATGGGGTCAGTTTGTCCGGCTGCTAGGATGGCTTAGTCGCGTCTTACAGGGATTCTTCCTTCAGGCTTCAGAACTGAGGGTTGCTGCACGCAACCCGCCCTACCTAGCCCCACGGATCAGTTAGCTTTTGCTGGTGTGTCCGGATTCGTGGACTTCGGAACCTAGACCTAAACGCTGCCACACCGGTCCACGGATTGGGATGCTCGATGATTGTCGTGGTCTAGGGTTTTCCAGGACTTTGGAGGATGTTTCAGAGGTCCCTTGTGGGGTTCCTTTAAGAGTTCTACTGGGACACGATTGGGATTTAGAGCAGCATAACTGTGGGCACTGGTGTCTGGATGTACGCGCCCTTGGTGAGTTGATGCAATGGCCTGGTGCAGGAGTATCTGTCCGCCATGGAGAAGAT